AAGAAGGACATGGAACTGTTGGAGCAAGTCCAGAGGAGGCCACAAAGCTGATAAGAGGACTGGAGCATTTTCCCTAAGAAGACAGGCTGAGGGAGTTGGGGCTGTTCAGCCTGGAGAAGACTGCATGGAGACCTCAGAGCAGCCTTTCAACATCTGAAGGACTTACAAGGGAGATGGAGAGGGACTCTGTATTAGGAACTGCAATGATAGGGGTAATGGGTTGAAACTGAAGGAGGGAAAGTCTAGGATGGGGAGAAAAAAACAGTGTTTTACTCTAAGGGTGATGAGACATTGGAACATGTTGCCCACGGATGTGGTGACTGCCCTGGCAGTGTTCAAGACCAGGTTGGATGAGTCCTTGTGCAACCTGATCTAGTGAGGAGGTGTCCCTGCCCATGGCAGGGGGGGTTGTGACTAGATGATCTGTAGGGTATATTCCAACCCTTAAATTCTGTGATTCTCTGTTGATTCTTTAAGCTGTGAATAACTCGGGAAGAGGTGGATCTCTGATAGTGAAAAAAAGTGTATTAAAATCTTACTTGGTGTATAGATATACCTGACATTAGTGAGAGGTAAAATGTATTGGACATGCAAGGGAATCTTTATTTTTATTTTTTAAATTTGTCTTCCTCTTAACTTTTTTCAGGTCTCATTGGAAATGGGAAAGATTTTTGTTGAGGGTGTTGGGGAAGTGCAGGAGTATGTTGATGTCTGCGACTATGCTGTTGGTTTGTCCCGAATGATTGGTGGACCCATTTTGCCTTCGGAAAGTAAGTATGTGTGTATTTGTGTAATTTTTTTGGTTTTGTTTGTGGATTTTTTTTTTTTACAAATGAAGTGATAGAGATGTGTCTTAAATATACAATGTTGTAGTGCTGCAAGATCTCTGTCCTGTGTGTTATTTGGGGAGATTTAGGGATAGACTCACTGGTGGACAGTAGCCCCGCCTAATGAAGTGGCAGGTAAGCAGGTGAGGCCATCAATTTCCTTCACTCTTTGAAGTGTTAAGACTCTTTTTGATTTCTTTGTTAATGAGAGGTGGTAAAGGATGTTACAAGTTCAGCAGTGTACTTGGAAAGAAGAGACCTCTTTGTCAGGTATTGATTAGGATGCTGTTATCATTATGTTAACTGGAGTAAAAATAGTAAAAGTTTGTGTTGTCATGTTATAAGCTTTATGCACAATCTAGCTAACCTTTTTCCAGTAAGCTGCAGAGCACATATAACACCACTCTTCACAAGCTAATGCTGTGATGCTAGGTTCCTTATTTGCATGTTTTCCTTTTAAAGAAACCCAAATGTTAAATGGATGAAAACTGCATTATGTTGTGTCTTTGCTTTCAGGACCTGGCCATGCCCTCATAGAGCAGTGGAATCCCGTTGGGTTAGTAGGAATTATCACAGCCTTTAACTTCCCTGTGGCAGTTTATGGGTGGAACAGTGCAGTCGCGATGATCTGTGGAAATGCTTGCCTCTGGTAAGATCTAACTCTCCAACCTGCTAACAGTGTTTTCAAATTAGAAAGCTTATCATCTCAGGCATGAAACTGCTATTAAATATCTGGTGTTTCTGTATATTTGATTATATCTCATGTAGACTTAATTTCTATTTATTTTTCAGGTCCATTTGTAGTCAGAGAGCTTTGTTTTATTTTATGGTAACCTCTTTTTTGAGGTATTGAGATTCAGACGTGTCTAGGACTTAGCCATATGGCCTGTGAATAAAGAACCCAGGTTGAGAGCTTGCAACAGTGGTAGTGAACAATCAATGTGTTCAGAATTGGTACAGCTAAAATTAAAAATCTAAATAAGTACATTTACTTCCTTTGCCAGCTCCTGCTTTGCTTTCATGTACCTACTTCACTCTCATGTGTGGCCATGCTCTTGTTCATGTGGATTTCAATAGAAGCTCTGAATGCTCAACTCTTCAAAGAAACAGTTGAATTCCTGTCTTGATATGCACCTCAAAATCAGCCTAATCAAAGTGTGCTGTATGTCAGATACCATAAGAAATTGTGTATATGAATTATTTCTTATTCCTTTTTAGGAAGGGTGCTCCTACAACATCCCTTGTTAGTGTTGCTGTTACAAAGTGAGTTCTGGTTTCTTTGCTCTGTTTTGCTTTTTAAACAACTCCTTTCCTGTTCAAGGTAGTGCTTAGTGGTCAGAAAAAGTGCTTTCCTCTAGCAGTAAGTGTATATATAGGACATTACCTATACTGTTGGCCATGTTTTCTGGATCCAGGGCTGTGTTCCTGCTGGCGTTAAGCTAGCTGTGTAGTTTGCTTCCTTGTGACTGATGAGTTGTGCATGAAACTCAGCTCATGTTTCAGTATAATTTCTTTTTTTTCTTGGAGTCTCAGTCCAGCATCAGCACTCGGTTTGTTGGCAGATTCTTCTGGCTGGAACTGTAGACCTATGTCCTGAAGATGCTGTCACACAATCCGTATTATCCCAAACCTAGTAACACCTTAGCATAAGTTTCCAGGGTTCAAAACTCATTACTCAAAACTTTGGAGAATTTCTCCAAAGGATAAATGTCACAGTGATACTTTGGGTTTATTGCTACTTTGCTTCTGTATTAGGATCTTAAATACATATTTATTGTGTGTTACAAATAACATTTATTATTAAACACTAAACATAAATAGAGCCCTAAAATAGCTGATTGCTGTCTTGTAGCTTCAGTATTAACTACTGAGAACAATGGTCTCAAAGCACTACTACCTCAAAACTCCAAGACACTTTTAATGGTTTATTCCCTATTTGCATCTGTCAGAAATCTCTGAAATTTTTACATCCCTGATTTCAGGATAATTGCCAAAGTCTTGGAGGATAACAAGTTGCCTGGAGCAATCTGTTCTCTGGTCTGTGGTGGAGCAGACATTGGGTAGGTAACATTTCTTGAATTTTGTGCACCTGTATAGAGGGTAAGGACTATTCTATGAGGTACTTGTAAAGTTATTCTGGTCACCAGGAGTTCCCAATCCCTGTGTTTACCTGTTGCCATGATTTTTATCAGCTGGTCTGAAACTCAGGTCCTGCAGTAAATATAATATATGTCTACTTGCTGTTGTGAGATCAACTGCTAACAAATAACTTATCAGATACTTAATGAAGAGACATGACTAAGTTTATATTTTACTTCTACATATGCTTACACACAAAGAATACAGCTAATATTAAATTCCACTCGTCATGATCTTAAGATTTTTTTGTTTTCTTGCCCGTTGGCCTTTTAGATCATTCATGGAGGAGAATACTTATCCATTTTCCATGCTCATGTAGGACTCTGTGCTTGCCTATAGATGTATATCTGTGCTTGGAAGCTGTACAAACCAAGTTGGGTGGTTTTGTTTTTTTTTTTTAAATTTTGTTTTATTTTGGTGTTTTGTGGGGTTTTTGGGTTTTTTTTTTTGTTTGTTTGTTTGTTTGGTTGAGTTTTTTTACAATGTGGAAATTCCCAGTACAAATGTGTATTCAGATGTACCTGTTGAGCATTTTAAGAGAAGACAAAATGACAGCAAGTATTTAAAGAAGTCAGATATATTTTCTTAGGATACATAACAATTGGAGCTAATCTTCCTATGTACTTTAGACTGAGTTTTAGTGTTAGTACAGGTGATGCTTTTATGTCTGAAAAGGTGGAGGGAAACAGCCTCATCTCTCTTTTCTGATGAAGAAGAAGCTTTCCTGCCATTAGCTCAGTCAGCTACCTGATGTTTTCAGAGAAGTCGCTCTGACTTTAGAGGTCTACCTGGTTGAAGGTGGTGTGCGTGGAAGTTGCAAACTGCTTTTCCATCTGTGTGCTCTCATTGAACACAGTGGTGTGTCTCCCATTATGCAGGACAGCAATGGCAAAAGATGAGAGAATGGACCTGTTGTCCTTCACTGGCAGCACAAAAGTGGGCAAACAAGTAGCACTTATGGTCCAGGAGAGATTTGGTGAGTATGTGGGGTCACCTCTGTTCTTTTCCATGGTTGGTAAAGGCAGGGGAGCCCCACAGTGTTTTAAAACAATGGTTTGTTTTGGCTGTGTAACTTGTTCATTTTTCTGTAACTTGAGGATCTAGGGGTTTGAAACTGCTCAGAGATTACATTTTTCAGTTAGTTCTGTCACAACAGAGCATTTTTCCAAGGGTATCCACAAGTCTGTGGGCCTGCAATTAATTTAGGAAGGGGCATTGTGGTGCCCATGAATATACTTGTATGGAGATTGTCAAGGTGAATAACCAAGGCCTGTGGTCTTTTGGCAGTGTGTTCATGAACACACGTCCCCTCACCTTTTTGTCCTTATAAATATAGAAGAAAAGTGATTATTTTTCAGGTTCTGTTTTTGTTGAAAATATCTGAAATTACAGGCATGAATCCATGCTCAGCTGCTCGATTCTAACATTTTTGTTTTAAACAGAAAATCTTGTGGACACAATCTTCTCATTTTATACTTTAAACCCAGAACAGATTGTGAACATTCACTCAGTGTAGATTGGGATTCTTTCAGATTTTAGCTAAAACAGTTTGCAGAGAAATAAATAAGCCTAGTTAAGTTTTATGTTTGGGTTTTGTTCTCTGTAGCACCTTTTCTAACTCTTTGAGTCATACTATTTATGCTGCAGCTTCTTCCTGTTTTCATAATTTTCTTTCCAGTGCTATTTTTGTCTATTTTTTTAAACTTCTTTGTGCCCTAACTGCTCTCCGGGTATCTTTCTTTACAATATGTGATAGATGTGGTATTCATTGTGATTTTTCTGCCTTGGCTAAAGTGATGAGTTGACTGTGATGCCTAAAACCTTTTGTTTATCTAGAAGAATACATTAGATGAAGCTTAGCTCTAGTTAGGGGTGACCTCACTGAATGAGGTGCAGTGAATACATGTGCACATGACATAACTTATATTCTGTATTTTTATTAGGTCGAAGTCTGCTGGAACTTGGAGGAAACAATGCCATTATTGGTAATAGCACTGTGTAGAAATTTAGTCCCATAGATGATATTTGGAAGTTAATATATAAATGTTTGTAGCAAATTGTTTCTTGTGTTTGTTTTTTGTGTTTTT